GAGTACGGAGCTTTATTGGGGAAACTCGCCCGGCTGAGCCGTATAACAATCCCTCGTCTGCACGGGGTGGGGGTGTCAGAACTACCCCCTCTCCTCACTCTCCAATGAGGGACGAGCCAGGGAGCTGCTGCAGGGGGGGTGAAGAGGGGGCAGAGGGAGGGAGGCGATATCAAAACTTGCAAACAAAGATGCCGGTATTTCGACCTGGGAGGCAGGAGTGGGCGAGAGGGTTCGGCTGTCCTGCACCGTTGTTTCAAACCGTGTGCTGGTTTACTATTGTTTCTTTCTCCTTCTCAACATGCAATGAATTAATCTGTCTGCTCTTGTTCCCGTTTCTAGTCTTAGTCTTATGTATTTGGGTGAAGTCTATATTGAGATTGGCTTCCAGACATTTTTCTAAAACGTGATAAAACTGACCCAGCAGGGATCAGCAAAGGTATTAACTCTCTCTTCGCCAATGTGTACTGCGAGTGTTTTGGAAACAATTAAAACATGAATACAGCGTACCGCGTCCCTGTATTTCAGCCTCTGAGGACTGCCCGATTCAAATCAGACCTTCCCGACTGGTCGTGCGGTACGGAGACCCGGTACGAGCAGAGTGCACTGCGACACAGCCGCTCAGAGGAATGGGCTGGGAGGCCACGGCTGGGCCTACAGGCATGCAAATAGTCAGCCAGGTTGTAACCTGGAATGTGAGCAGCCTGACCGATTGGACCAGCGAGCCAAAATGCTTTGGAAACTTCTATCAAACGCCGAAGCAGTGCGAGAAGAAGCTCACCATCGTTCTGTACAGTAAGTGGCTTTTTTGTGTGTGTGTGTGTGCTGTGATCTGCCACCCAGGGGGTGGATGTTTCGAGTGGGTCTTGGTGAAGACAGGGCTGAAGGGAGTGGTCAGCCACTTTCTGCCAGACAGCAAAGTCTTGGGGGCAACGCAGCTCGATCGCCAGCCTCCCCAGGGCAGAATGTACTGTAACACCTAACACCTGGGTGATGCAAAGCGATCTCTGAAGCAGAGAGCCCGGAGGGGTTTGAGCAGGAGCACATGAGTGCTCTGAGCTTGGATTCACAGCACCACAAGCCCAGGGATGTCATAGATTCCCAACAACCTCTTTATCCAGCATCACTTGCTTTGTTGAGCCAATGTATTTGTGCTCGTTTTTGCCTGATGCTGCCCCAGCAGTGCTAATTTAGCCAATGTCGAATTTCACCCATAAGCCTGCATGAGGTTATAGAGGGTGTTTCCTCTAGGTCTCCCCTGTAAAGTTGTTCCATTTAGATCCCCAGCTTCTCTTTTTCTTTAACTCGCCTGGTACAAATCCTTTCTTCTCACAGACGTTGACAGAAACATAAACAGATCTGTAAAAGAAACAGATCTAAAGCAGAGACTGACCTTTATCGGTGTGTTTCCTAAAAAAAAAAGGCCTTTTGTGAGGGGGCAGGGAAAGTCATACGAGGTTCGATGATGAATCACCACTGGTACAGCTGCAGGTCGCTAACTACAGCTAGTGTCCAGCCAAATTAACTTGCTGACCCGAGCAGTGCATTGATTTAACCTGCAGGGTAGGTGACAGTTATACTCCCACACACAGTGGGGTCTGCTGTAGGCTGCCTTCTGGGGGAATTTCATTACATTATAATTATAAAGAACACCCCCCAAACTAGAGACACTTAGGAGATTCTTCTTTGCTTCATTTTCAAGCGAGCAAGGTGTTGAATGTTATTGCTGTGTGGCGCAGTGGTTAAGGATTCTTGATGTGTATCTGACAGGTGGTGGGTTCACATACTAGGCAAGACACCCCTGTTGTATAGAAATTGCTCCAGTAAAATACCCAACTGTATCAAAGGGTACGAATGTAAGTCACTTTTGATAAAGTGTTAGCCAACGAAAATTAGTAATGATTTTTTGGTTTTGCAGAGCTTCCAGACAGTGTCTCTCTCAATCAAACTGTCCAGATGGTGGAGGGGAGACAGTACCAGCTGCAGTGTGAGGTCCAGAACATCGCTCCTGTTCAGTACCTCACTGTGAACTGGTACAGAGGAAAGACACTGATTCACAGTCGGACCTTTTCTCACAACACTACTAGAACACCTGTGAATGTGTCTGCGACCCTCCTGTTCACCCCTGACAGAGCTGACAATGGACAGCAGTTCACCTGTGAGGCAGAGCTCAACCTGGGCCCAGAAGGACCACAGCCCCCTCCTGCAAAGAGAGGAAAACCCGTAATGATCACTGTGTTGTGTGAGTTGTTAGCATTGTCATTTTATAGAACAACTTTTCTCTTTTATTCAAGTCAGTAAAATGGAAAAACCATCGCTGTTCCCTGAAGGTGATTGATAATAGTGCAATACTTAAATATTTTACAGTCTTAAGCAGACAACAAAAAGATTCTGCAACCTGTTTTACTTGTTCCAGTATGCGTGGAACAGCGTATAAACGTGTAATTCTATTTCTGTCCTCATACTATGAGGTGCTGTTTAGGCCATTATTCAAACTTTACTTCTCACACACACACAAAATGCTCTCACACTCTCCATTTTACCTCTCATACACACACAAAAAACTCTCACATTTACTAGTTTTACCTCTCACATACACATGAAAACACTCCTTCACAATGTGAACGTGAGAGACAAAACTAGTGAATGTGAATGTATTTTATGTGTATGCGAGAGGTAAAACTAGTGAATGGGAGAGCTTTTGTGTGTGTGTGTGAGAGGTAAAATGGAGAGTGTGAGAGCATTTTGTGTGTGTGTGAGAGGTAAGGTTTCAACAATGGCCTAAACAGCACCTCTTATATTACTGCCTTTCAACAATTTGTCATTGTAATTATTACGGCCGTTGCTGTTTTATGGTGCAATAACAAAATGGAGTGTAAGAGAGTTTCTGAGTGATTGAAATGCCTCTGTGAAGACTGGAACTGTGCAAGCCTTATCCAGAAAGTGACATGCACAAGTCCGAACACTTTTCTTGGCCAGTCTCAGAAACAGCCTTAGGGACCGCAGGGGGAGGCGTGTTCTTTGTACCACATCTCTTTAGAGGTAAACCAAAAGTGCCTGACTGATTGCCTGAGCCCTTCCACTGAACAAATCCCTTTCTTTGTTTGACAGACGACTTGAAGGATTACTTCATGATGAGCATGGCTCTGAACTCGGTTGCAGTCCTGTTCGTTGTCATCAGCGTCGTCCTCTGCATCTGTCGTCGCAGCCGGAATGAGAGCTGATGGTACGAACGGAGAAGACTGGATGCAATCCAACGAGATCCCGGGACAATGGCAGCTCTGGACTTTTGGAGAACAGAAAGGAAAGCAGGGAAGGCCTTTGGAAGAGAGCTCCGGTGAGATGTGTTTTGGGACTTGCAGAGCAATGATCAGATATCACGCGCTGCACAGATATACCGCAGACCCGGGACCTCTTCGGTGCTGGTATTCAGGCCATGAAAACAAAGAAAAAACTGTGATCAATTCCTGTAGGCTTCATTTTTCATCTTCACCTTGGTCTTGATTTCAGCATCAGTAATAGGGCTCTTTGGCATTGAACCTGTTAAAGAAGGCACCATCTTGCCCTCGAACCTGGGCAGGGCTGAATTCTCCTTACAGCAGGAGTCCCAGGCTCTTGGTGTAGAGGAGTTCAGCACTGCTTGCGGAGTGGTGCTTGTGTGCACTCTGCAACACATCTTCATTCACAATACCCACCTGTTATCCAGCAGGACCAGCAGCAGTGTCTGAGGTCATATGCAAGGTTTTGTTCATCCTTCCAACTGGATTTTTAAAGATACCCCTTCCCACATTGCTCCTCTATGATGAAATCTATGCTTTTACTGCAGCTGAATGACAATACAATTAGCACACAGGAGCCTGTTACATAAGGTGGACAAGATATTTGCCTTCTTCCATAATTGTGCTTCCCCCTCCAAATACAAAAAAAATGTTTTAAATTGTTTTGGAGGTCAAAATGTTCTTGGCAGAGAGAAAGGGTGTTTAAAATAGAAAAGTATTCTAACCAGCAGAAATAAACAATACAGTATATACTGTTCAAATAGAAAGAAGCAAGAGAAGCATTCATATTCCATCATTTGCAATCATTTTAAAGGTTCTCACTGCAACTAACAGGTTTCTTCTTAACATATCAATATAAGCATTTGTGCCTTTAAATGTGTGTGTCAATTCAATAAAGTTCCTCAAAAGGTAAATATGGGGATTGACTTATTTACTCACCTTCTAACATGCTATGTTTTAATGACAGGGCTTGGCAGTGTGTGGGGTGCAGTTTCCAGCACAGCACAGGTGCTGACATCATCATGCAAGGCGCTACGTTTCACTGGGCTGCTTCTAGGGCACAGGTCACAGGTCACATTGTCCAATTTCTCTGCCTAAGGTCAAAGGTCACCGAGGAGAGGAGCCCATCTAGCTCATGGAGCTGCTAGCAGCTGATTGATCCAATAATCTTGTCCAGGTGGTTCTTGAAGGATCTTGGGGAATCTGCTTCGGCAAACTGACTGAACAGTTGTATTCCAGCCTGTCCTAAGTTCCCGTTTTCAGGCCAACACAGTCTTCCCCTTACTTTTTGCTTGGGTTCTCAGATCCTGTTGGTCCCGAGGAAGAGATCTGGGCTGACTTTGTCACGTCTTTTCAGGGTTTACATTTATTTTTATGCAGCTTTATTGTCCATCCAGATGGGCGGAAGTTTGTCTTTGGCATCTCCAAAAAGAAACTACAAAAGTAAATAACTCTCAACTTAAAGTAAATACACATTAAAAGCAAACAATAGTTCTAGAAATGCAACAATAGATATACTGTATACACATCTTTCTCTGTCCATATTACACTAACACTAACTACCATTACACTAGCCCAGTTACGTCATACAGGAAACAGTCACTTAGCTGTGTTTATTATTCTGTACCAATTACTCTACAAATATACCACGCAAATTCTTGCATACATTTTTCTTGGTCACAACTATTCTAATCCACAACCCTGAAGGCAGCAGTTGAAACGGGGATTAGCAGTTGAAATGGGTCATCAATGATAAAATGAGATTTCCTTTCAACTGCAGTGTGATTCAGCTCTTTCAGCTGTTTCTGTCAACCACATGTTTTACTGGCAATATTAACAATTCTTGCCATTAAATGGTAGCATCAAGCACTCCTGTAGTCCTCTCTGCTCAAGGCTCAAGGCATTCTTGTTTCATCTGTGCACCTGTCTGTTTTGTGTAGCTCTCAGTTTGTCAATTACTACGCCAAGACAACATCAGAAATTTGGCAGTTTTGTTTTGTCCTTTCACCCCAATGTGCCTAGATGCTCTCTATAATCACTCTCTGGAAGACCCTGCAAAGTCCTTACTTTAACCTCCAGATAAAAGAGAAAAATGGAAAATGAGACAGTTCTATTAGATTATTAGTGTCATATTTTGATCAGGACATTGCACGCTAGAGATAAGTGGTTTTGGGCTAGAAAAAGAGTGTTTTATTTTTCAGTTGGCCTGGCCAAGAGGGCAGCGATAACAAAACCACAAACTCTGCTGCAGCAGATACAGGACTTATTCATGCCTCCGAGACTAACTTATTGCAACGGTTCAAATTTCAATTATAAGACAGATTAAGCTTTGCTATGTCCCCCTTCAGGCACTGACTATGGCTAGACAATTCTAGAATTCTAAACATTCTAGAATTCTAGAAGGCGATAAAGAGTTGCAAATCTCTCCCTTTTTTGCCTGAGGTTTGCAAGCTTTGAGTTGCAAAATTCCCTTTAATTCACACCCGTGTAAAGTAGTTTGCTACTTAGAGTTTGCTCCTTACAGCTTTGCGCTCTGGGATATCAATATGGCTTTGTGGGAATTAAACAGAAACCCTCATTTGTCTTGTGCTTTTCCAAACACTGGAAAAAAATGTTCAGAAGCAGGTTGAAGTGAAGGAATGATCAGTTCAATTAAGGTTCCAACTAAGCGATCAGCAGGAAGTGGACCAAAACCAGCAGCCATCTGGGGTCAAGAGGTCAGATTAAATTTAGCCTGCCCAGATCTGTTGTGGCCATAGGCTTGCTGTCCACTGTTTTCCCAAGCTGAAGAAATAGGATCTTCTCTGTCTCATTCCCATTGCCACATGGCCTCAGAACACATTACCGAGCACAGCTAAATTTCTCAAAGAAGTATGAAGCAACGTCAAGGTTAAATGAAGCTTAAATTTCTTCATGGCTGTTTTGTAACTATCTTGTGATGACTGAAATCAGTGAGTGCTTTATTAGGCACAGGACGGTACAGGATTCTGACACAATAGCCTTTCGGATTTAATGTATGCTGGGTAAATATGCACAATCATGCACCCATACCTCATCAAGCTGACATGGTGGAACAGCAGTCAGCACAACTGCTGCTCTGTGGCTTCAGGATCCTGGCTTTTGGTAGCAGTCTGTCTATGTGGAGTCTGTGTGTTTCCTTCTGTTTCTTCCAAGCTCCCATGAGTTTGCTTCAAGAATGAAAGGGACTGAATAAGTGTCTGAATCCAAATGACTGTAACTGACCTGATTGACTCTTTTGATGTAGCCTGATGTTCAAGACGGTGCAGTATTTGCTGTGATTTCCAATTTTATGCAACTTAAAACTCTTAACATATACAGTATATACTGTGTTCAATTATTTCAGTTTTTATCACTCTGGACAATGTATTTTTTCATTCACTATGGAATTTTGCATCCCTCAGTAATTGTTATGAACGTAGGTCATTTTGGATGAAGTTGTCATCAGAAAAATTGCAGGCTTTGGACTTGCCAACACAAAAATGAAGGAAGTACTGTCACGTTAATTGCAGATGGCATTCTTAAGGATATTGCTTAATAGACAAAGGTCAGAGTAATATCCTTCCCTTTTCATCTGCAACTCCCACCACTGCTGGTGTTATAGACTGCTTTTCGACGTTCTTGCTGTTGATCCTTGTTGTTCTGAAGTGTGGAGAATTAACGTCAAGAAAATGGAGTTCCAATCGATCAGTCTCTCTTGTTCTTTTGCGCAGCTCCTCCTCCTTTTCCTCTCCGACTGCGGTAAGCTCCCTTTTTTTAATTTTACCACGAAAGCGTCCTGTGACTCCCAGTCCCCTGGGGTCCGGAATTGTAGCTCATTCAGTCTCCCAAATGGAAACGCTGACAGTCATGTTTCTGAGCACAACTTGCCAGTTCTGTTGCTGCATTCTCAGGCTGTAGGTATAAATATATCTATAAGGCTGGGCATTTATTCAGTAGATACACAATTGTTTGTGTGTTTGGTTACAAAGTATAACACAACATGAAAAGTGTTTACCTTCTTGGTTTAAGAGATATTCTGTAATCAGGACTGATAGAGAACTGAACATTTTTACAGTTCTTTCAGATTCTGTTTATTTCTTTGTTTATTCTGTTTGCATGTTTGGTTTGTACACAGTGAAGTTACTAGGTGGCAGTTTTTCTGAAGTGGATTTTGACTACTTTGACCTACTTGAACTACTCCAGCCTACTTTGACTGATGACTGCAACACAGACAGCTACAGTATAGCAATGCTTTTAGGAGGCAATATTTCATCATACTGTCATGAAAACTAGTGTCCAAAATGTCACTGTAAGAAGAAAACTGTAGTATTCTTTGGTAGGACCTGTACCCGACTGTCCACTTGAGATCAGCCCTCAGAGAGCTGTGGTGAGATATGGAGACCCAGTGATGGTGAACTGCACCACAACACAGACAGCCAGAGGAATGGGCTGGGAGGCTCCAGTTGGAGCTACAGGCATGAAAACAGGTGCCCAGTCTGTCACCTGGA